AAACCCCTGGGGAAAAGGAGCAGGGCAGAGAATTAGCACCGACGGGGGGAAGGACCCCCTGGGGCAGGGGCAGGCAGGGGACACCAAGAGCTGGAGTGATGGATGCCCATGGAGCAGCACGGCTGCCATCCCCCTGGGTGGTGCTGGTGGGGGTCTCTGGATGCCCTAGGCTGGACTGGCCTCGAGTAGGAGCTTCTCCAGGACAGATCCTGCTCTTTCCCACAGAATTGGGGTGCCCTGGCATGTGGCAGGAGAGAGCAGCGAGGCAGCTGCTTGCAGCCAGCCAGGCTGGGCTCACACCTGGGGATGTAAAAATGGTACCTGCCACGCAGCTGGCAGCACCTTGTGCTAAGGAGCAACGTCCCAGGACCAAAGCTACTGGCACCATGGGGTCACTGGAAATCCCTGTCCCTGCCACACTCCTGCTGACTCTACTGGAGGGGACATGTGCTGTCCTCAACTGCACCAGCACCCTTGGTCCTCCTCAAATGCTGCCACTGCCCAGTCTGGTCCCAGTCCAGTCCCAATCCAATCCCAATGTGGAAAAACACGAGCAGAATCCACTTCTCTCAGTGCCGATGCTTGGCTTGGGGGCATTGGGGCAGATGATCATCCTCCATGTCCAGCGTCGTGATCCTCACTTGGCCTGAGTTGGTGGCACCTGTCTTGCTCTGACCACAGGAGAGGACACAGCCCAGGACTTGTCACCCCAGTGTGGAGAGGACAGATACCTCACAGGGCTCAAGGCCCCTGGGACATCTGAGCTGCTACTTGCAGAGACTGGCTCCCTCCCAGGGCCCCTCTGTCTGCCACACATCCTGCCTGGTGGCATGCAGCTTCAATACCACCCTCTCGCTGCACATTGTGGGCCTCAGGACTGGGTGACATTCATCCAGGGACATCCCTGACATGGCCACATGTGCTGGCATGTGCCGGCACAGCCCCTGCCATGGTTCATCCTGTGCCACATTGGTGCTGGCACGGTGCTGGGTATCCTTGGCATCTATGGTGAGGGGCTCCACAGCCCAGCAGTGGGTGGGAAGGCAGGTTGACATGCTTCTCATCCCAGTGGAGATCCAGCAGTGGCTGCAGCCAGCAGGGTGGGAGGGCACGTCATATGGAAGCTGACATCAGGGTCCAGTTGGAAGGGCACAGTTCCAGAGTGGAGAGAAGTCCTTGGTCTGCAGAGATGGCCTGGCCCCACTCAGCAGCATAACACCATTAGCCACAGTCACCCCTAGCCTGCCATTGCCCCCAACCCTCTGTCCCCCAAACCTCCCAACACCAGACAGTAGGGCTGAGCCCAACTGCACTCCCATGGTGGCTGCACCAACACCGCTCTCCTGGTCATCAGCTCAGCTCCCCCATCTCTCCCACCCCTCACCTGGGCTTTGCGCCCTCGGTTGACGAACGCACAGATGGGGTTATAGGCGCCAGTGCCACACACATAGAGGTGTGTCCGGTTCCAGGGCTGGATCAGGCGGATGAAGTTGCCACATTCACCCTGGGAAGCAGAGGAGACGGTGTCAACCCCAGCAAGGAGTCACAGGTTGGGGTGGGGCCACAGTTGGCATGCACATGGGATGGCATGGGTCCTTGGATGGGACAGCATAGATCAGGAGTTGGCATGGGCCATGAGCTGGCAAGCCAGAGGGCCCAGCCCTGGCTGTGGCAGGAGGAAGTAGTGTGGGAAGCTTGGTCTCCTACTCGCCCATGGAAGTTCTCCATGATCCACACAGCTGGGACAGAAGGGGTGGCAGGACGCTGCAACACCCTAGAGTTCTACACATCCTGACATGGCTGTAGGTGCCACTGCACTACAGGGGACCCAGGGGATAGCCTTTCCAGGGTAGGACAGGAGGACATGAATCCCCTTCCAGTGCCAGCCACCAGCCCTCTACTGATACCAGAAAGGGGTTCATGATGGCCACTCACGTTGCTGTTCTTGCCTGACAGGATGCACTCCTCGATCCTCTGCTGGGACGCAGGCCAGTGGATCTGTGGAGACACCAGCCATGGGAATATCGGGGCTCCCACCCAGTCCCACTGCTTTCCCACCAGCACCAGTGATGCCCACTGAGCTCTTGAGCATTCAAAATGTCCCCCAGGTGCCAATTGTCCCCCTTCCACCTGCTCCCCCCATCCTGCGATGGCAGCTTACAATGAGGGGCTCGCGGTTGATGTCATGGAGATCCAGCGAGAGGACATAGTCCTTGCTGCCCACATACATGCGGTCATGGTCCTCATCCTTCAGCAGAATGCGATAGTCACTGGAGTTGAGGAGGAAGTTGAAGAAGTGTGCTGTGCCCGTTGCCTTCAGCTCTGTGGTGGCAAAGGGGAAGGTGTTAGCACCCCAGGGACACCCATCTTCCCCAGTGCCACCCATCTTCCTCAGTGCCATCCCTGCTTCTGAGACCAAGCTTCATCCTGGCTGGAGGATGTCATTTGAGAGGAGGTACACACCTCCCAGGCCATGGGGCCCACTTTCCCCTCCAATAACCACCATGATGATGCCACCTCCATGGAGACAATGATGGAGATGCTCATGGCCAGCTGGGACAACCAAGAGTGGCGAGGAGAGAGGGCAGCAGGACCTGGGCTCAGGAGACCCAGCATACCACAGCAGCGAGTGGAGCTCACCACCAAGATGGAGCAGGATGGTAAGGCTCCCTGGCACCTCAGCTCAGAGACTACAGCTCCCAAAATCCCCACCATCGTCCGTCTCCTGCCCTGTGACCCCATGTCCCAGCCAAGACCCTGGCTGCTACAATGGGGGAGCTGGGACCCAAGGAGCCAGCTACAGGGGAGGGGACAAGCCTCTCCCCAGCCCCATGCACCCCATCCCCCCCTTGGAAAAGTTATTTTTAGCCCAAGTGTGGGAGCAAGGAGTGAAAGACGATAATGAGGGTCATGAATATTCACAAGAGCAACGAGGCAGCCAGATGGAAGGCAGAAGTGCTGCAGATGATGTGGGCCAGTGCCAAGAACCACAAGACAGCGGCCAGGGCAGGAGCAAGATGGAGCACCCTGACAGGATGCTACCTGCCCTGGATACCCCACACCTTTGGAGGTGCCACTCCCCTTGGAGGTGTCACCCTCTCTGGATGCCACCAACAGCCATGAGATGCCACTCTCAGGCATTGGATGTTACCCTCATGGAATGTCATGTCCTCAGATGCCACCCCATTTGGTGCTCTCACTCCTTTTGGATGCCACCAACAGCCATTGGATGCCACTCTCATGGTGTACTGGTCCCACGAGCAGCCTCAACCCGTGGAGTTTGTCCCTCCATGCAGAGGGGTGCCCTGTGCAGGCACTGGGAGCTGGAAGCAGCCCTGGGTGCCCCCATTCCTGGGGAGGAGCAGAGCAAAGTCTCACAGGTCAGTGTCGGGAAGGAGAATGCCGGCTGGGCAGGGCTCCAGTGGCCAGCTGCCATTCCCAGCAGGAGACTGAGTGCCTGCAGATCTCCTTGACCTCCCAGCCCCATGAGAAACTGGCAATGTCCCACAAGTGTCCCCAGGGTCGCTTCCCATCCTGGGCACCCACTCTGTCCCACTCCTGGCAGCGATGCTCCCCAGTCACATTTAACACCACTCAGACGTGGCCGTGAGACCAGCGCATGCCAGACACCACGGGGTGGAAACTCACCGGGGGAGGCTACAGGAAAAGGAGCCATGGGATGTGACATAAACCTTTACTGGCCTGGGGGTCTGCCTGTATGGTGGGCATGCAGAGGGACTGGCAGCTTGGGCTGCAGGCAGGGGGGCCATGGCAGAGGTGGGGTGGAACAGTGCCAAGGATGGGGGGCCACGGGGCTGCTCACCCACTCACGGCATGCTCCTCCTCCCGCCTGTCCCATCTGGGCTCCAGATGCTCCCTGTTACTAGTGCTGGCTCGCCTGCCACCCATGGCGTCCCTAGCCCCTATAGCAATCCCTGCCTGTCCCCCAGCGTCCCTGCCTGTCCCATGCCCCACACCTGCTTTATTGGCCTATACAGTGTGTGTATACGTGTGTGCATGCATATACATGTGTGCACCCCACAATGTGTGTGCATGCGCATCTGTGCGTACACCTGTGTGCTGGGGCTTCCCCGGGCAGGACGCTGGTGTCAAAGGGGACCAGAGCTCAGGAGCCAGGAAAGGGCAGGGCAGCTCTGGCAGCGGGTGACGCAAGCAGAGCTGAAAAGCTCATGCCCAGCTGCTGGTGATGGAAGCATGTGCCCAGCCATCCCACTCAGGACAGACACACCTGGAGCAGGCAGAGCCAGGGATGGCAGTGAAACTGGCCAGGAGGCCTCATGCCAGGACAGCCCCACATCTGCCACTGCTGCCCAGCCTGAGCACGACACATCTAGCCTCCTTGGGGGACACACTCCCATCCTTACCCTCCTATCCAGGACACTAGGGGCGGGCAGAGACTCCCACACCAGTGACAGCTCCAAATATCCCACATCCATTAGGATGGGCATTCCCAGGATTTGGCAGAGGACAGAGCTAGCAGCACAAAGGGCCCTGCCTCCCCCCGCTGGCGGCTCCATTCAACCCCCCACGGCCCAGCGATCAGAGGGGGCACTCCCAAAGCAGGGCGGTGGCGGACCCACTGCCCCGTAACGCCCTCTCCAAAGGCGACTGAGAGGCAAGCGAGCCTCTGCCCCAACCTCTAACCTCACAAACTTCCATCCCCCGCCTAATCCCCCACCGCCACTATGCCCCCAAACCTGCCCCTGGGTTTCCCTGGGCACGGAGTGGGGCAGGGTCCTCCCCCAGGCTGGAGAAGTCGGCTCATTAGCCGATGTGCCCCGATGAGCATATTCCCTCCTGTATCCCCATTGCCAATTCATAAAATGCACAGAATTAAAGCATATTGACGGGCTGGAAGCCTAATCCCATTTTAATTGCCCAGCACCGGAGCCAGGAGCCGCTAGGCATGACAGCCAGGGTGGCCTCCCCGGGGACTGTCCCCTTGCAGCATTCCGCGGTGCGCTCTCTGAGCCCACTGGGACTGACCTCCCAGGCATCGTTTGGTGGCCTCGGGCATTGAGATTTAATTACCCTGTGCCCTCGAGCTATGCCGGCAGCCAGGAGCCCAAAGGCTGGCAACAGGGGCAATGCTCTGCTCTGCCTCCAGCACCACCGCTCGATTACATGCTCTGCTAAGCCAAGTTCCCCCCACAGTGCCAAATGCAGGCTGAATTCCCAGCTCCGGCAGCTGCCACCACAAGCCCCATCGGGCACGGGTGAGCAGTCCCTACCCATCACCCATTGGCTTGGAGACCAGTGCTGATCTCCAAGGTAATGATGATTTTGGGGGTTCCTGATAAACCGAGTACCCTGAGGGGCTTCTCACCCCACCCCAGCCTCAAAAATCACCCCTCCACCCACCTCTCCCCCTAAAACATCACTAGGGCACCAACATGAAGAGTTAATGCCATTAGGACCTAGCGGGTCACCTCCCCAGGTGCACCATCGCTGCATTCCCCAAAACCAATTACAGGCGCTCTCACCTAATTAGTTTCTAATTATGGGCTTGTAGCGCATTC